GAATGCGATGGAGTATGTTATTAAAAATGGTATCAGAACCTAACTTAGTATGAAGTGTGGTCAATGACGAAATTGGGCCCCAAGGGAGATGATTGTGATGACCTTATAGGCGGGTGCAAAAGGTACATACTATCACACTGGACAAGCTACATGTGCATATTGTTTGGATGTGGAAAGTGAGAGTACTATATATGTCAGATTTGTACACTCTAATTGATTCAATTAGTACGAGGCATTTTGAGGTAAAACCCAAGAATAAAACGGTGCGGGTTTGAATTCAAATTCGACAATATCGTATCACGTGAAAGAGTGAGTCATTACATAATCAACATGCATGATTTATAGTGAAGGCTCCCTATATACCACCTTTTTTAAAAAACATATTTATATTTTTTTGTGTTGAAAGCAATATACAATTACGTCAAGGATAATTTTTGGACAATGGATGTTTGGGAAGAATTTAAGAGCAAAATAACATTTAAGAAACATTGGTTTTAAATTAGGTTAAATATATACAAAAATATAAATAAATATATATATATATATATATATATATATATATTTTGAGAACCTAAATCTTGGCATGCACCAACACGTACAATAACTTTCCATCGTATATATAATAATTTCATATCATTATTATATTTCATATCACTTGTGTAATATTTCTTATTTTTGTATCTTTTATGCAACAATAATTTTACATTTGATTCGGAAGTGATGTATTATATTTTGCGAAGTCGGTTGCGGATGCAAACATATAATTTCGTCTCAAGAGGCGATCCTAATTCATATTGCGGAGGTGAGAGGCTTGGATAAAGATAAATATTTTTGAATTCAACAATTTTAGAAGACATTCGTGGTGAAATATTATGACGTAGGCATGAGTGATTTGGTAAAGTGATTGGTTGGGGGTATGGTGTTCTATATTAGTGGTTACGCAAAAGGTCAGGCCGCCCTATATTCGCGGGGGATTTGACTGTTCCAGAGTTTTAACCAGCAGTACACTACGTTTTATATGTTTTCATTTGAATCAATACGTCTTATTAGTAATTTTTTTTTTTTTTTTTTTTAAATGAAAGTTCATTTAAGTTTCAAACATTATTCTCAAATGTAACTCAAAATTAACTCAAAATATCAGTTGATTAAAATTCCAAAAAAAAAACTCAAAATTAACAAAATTTGTGGGAAAAAAAAAAAATAGCAAATTTTCAATGACATTAATTTGGAAAGTTTTTTGAGTATTCTAGAAGAAACAGTTCCAAAATATTCCAACGAAACACTCAATTTCTTTATTTGGAGGGGAGAACTTATATCATATGAATTAATGTCAATTTATAAACATCATATATTTTTCTGACTAAACGAAATTTTATTTATGAAGGTAGTAAATTCAGTATATTTATATCATCTTTCTTGTAATACTTTATTGGGAAAGAAAACAGTGACTGCAAATTACAATTCCCATGATGAAAAATCCAATTCATTGCGGAAGTGACTCCAAGTCCAGAAAGACAAGTGAAATCACTGTGAACTCATTGAACTTCAAAAAATAAAAATAATAAAATAATAATATTAAATAATGGAAATGTGAACTCATTGCCCAGTTTTTACGGTCAATTTGACCTCTGATCGATCCCCAATGAAGGTGACTGCTGCCTCGTGGCCAGCGGCTTTAATCTTCCCTGCGTTTGACTTTGATATTGCACGTGACATCTCTCTTCTCCACACGCCGTATACACGGATATATAGAATATTATATATATATTATAGACGGTAAATGAATAGAGCGGGTTCATAAATACATTAATAATATATTCGTTTATTTTTATAGACCTATATAACAATATATTCGTTTATTTTTATATTTGTTGATGAACATTAAGTACATTAACATAGAGTTTGTATAGGTTTATGAATATAAATAACGTATACCTTTCTAATCAGAACACGAATAATTGAGTCAAATGAATAATGACATTAATTTTTACTTTGTTTTAGTAATGTATATTAAACTAGTTGAATTGAGCCTAATCAAGCTTTTTGAAACAATGATGAATCAAGTTCAACCATCATTTTTCAAACTTATCAGGATTTAAATCAAGTGGAATGAGAGTGAATTAAGGCACAAATCAATTTTTTTTTTTAATTATTTATTTATTTATTTTGACATTCATGACAGTACATAACAACACATAAAGGATGTGAGTGCAATAGAAGAGAGTATCCGAGTGCAAAAGAGCTAGAGGGGGAGAGAGAAGAGAGAGTTAGGGTTAGGGTTAATGGGTATCAGATGATTAGGGACAATGGCCTCAGATCTGTCCTTGTTAGTTTGTTGTGGAAGTTAGCTATGTACGTTTATTGCAGATCAAGTACTTTCCTAGGATTCATTCAGATTTATGGACAGTAAATAGGGTAATGGGGACTTCCACTCTGGTTTTAGGTCATGACCAATTCTATGAGGGATGTTGTTCTAACTTATAAGCAACCTATCAATCTTTCAACCCCCAATTACAGTGTGTGTGTGTGTGTGTATATATATATAAAAATCATGAGGTTTCTACTTTATTAAATGCTTTATTATTATATGGTTCATTGACATTGATACATGCTATAATAAACTATAAGGTTGTTAAACCGACATTATGATAACATATATGGATAGAATTGTTCCAATAACATCGATCTCAAGTGACAGTGATTTAAGGATTTAATATTTATTGTCCATCCATAAAATAATTCTAGACGTCCAAAATTAGGCCCAATTGATGTTAATTAATCTTTACTTCTCTAATCTCTAAAATGCAACACACACTTCTTTGTTTTTTTTTTCAAAATGCAATTACAATTGATTTGGAGTTGGAGTAACAAATTACGACACGGTACAATAATACGATACGAACACGATACGAGTTAAAAGGATTTAAGTTTGGTATAAACGGGTTTGGGTCATAAAATGGTTGACACAATTAACCCGTTTACTTAACCGTGTCGGGTTAAGGTTGGGGAGTTCAACCCATGTAATTATTTAACTCAATATGTTATAATCGTGAATATGACCTATATAAAATGTTATCTGTTTAATTAAGTCATTTCAACATAAACTTTGTTTATGGCTTATGATTTTTTTCTATTATTTAATATTTGATTAAATATTAAATGTCTCATTTTGATAAACAACGGATTAACATATTTATCTGTTTAATAAACGGATTAGGTTAGTGTTAAAAATTTTTGACACGATTATTAAATGGATTATATTTAAAATTTATCTATTTAATATAATATTCTTATATCGACACGATACGAACACGACCCACGTATATAAATTGACACCCCTAATTTAAAGTGAAACTTTTCTCTCACAACTAGCTGTGTCTCTTAATATTAATTTTAAGAAATTTATTTAGAATCTAAAATTCTAAATAATTCCAAATGATAACACTGTCCACGATTCTACTTTCCTCGGTATTATCCAACTATCGAACACGTGGTTTCAATTTTAACAGAAATAAATTTTGCTTGCAAAAATTCAAATGTTACACATGAGAAGAAGACATTGAAATAATTGACGGAAGAGATTTAACGTGAGAAGAAAGAGTTGGTGGTTTGGCGGCTGATTGCATTGGTCGGTGAGGACAGTCCGCCGCAGCAGAACAACCCATGCTAGCCTGTCCCCTCGTTTTATTCATGGGACATATGTACCCAAAAAAAAACAAATTGTTTGATTTCTTGTATTTTTTGTCGGTTTACTTATACTACTGTACTTTAATCCTACTTTCAAACAAAAAAAAAAATTATAACTTTAGGTAACAGAAGTGACATAAAAGGTTTTTTTTAGGTCACAGAAGTGACACACATATACTTATTTTTCACAATCAAAATGATTGCATATTAACGTTTCTCGCATGCGTTGGACTGAGCACTACCAGTATGGGTGGCTATTTTTATTTTTCTCGGACATTGGATATCATGATACTTTTCTTTGAAAAAAAATAAAATAAAAATAGGAGTAATTGCATAAAATCTCTCAATTTATTAAAGAATTTACAGGTTATAACCCTTGAAATAAAACTAACGACCTAACTTTTGTTTGATGCTTATCCAAAGGAAAGATTAAAAAAAAACCCTTACTTGTTTAATGGACTTTTGATGTGTATTTTTTTATTCTTTATTTTTATGTAATGAATCGAAAGTTCATATTTGATGTGTATTTAACATTACAAAATTGTCGATTTCTTTTTCCTTATTAGTCTCTATATTCTTTTATTGTTTTTAAAAATATAAAACTTCAACTAGTAAAAATTAACATGGATTTAAAGTGAACTTTTGGGTTTCGTGAATATAGGGAAATTGTAGCATGTGAATATTCACTACATTCTTCTGATCAAAAGTTTTCTTTAAATTCATAACATTTTTAAAATGAAAAAGAAAGTTATTCAATTTTTAAAATTCCTTTTGATGTTTTTAAAAAAAATAATTCGATCCACCAGCCAAGTGATAGTATCACTACTATCATTTAGATGGGAACTCCAAACTTCAAATTAATTAGCATTACTTTGTCTATGTCCATATAGACACAATATCTTATGCCACGCAACATATTACATAGCAAAATTATTGTATAAATAATCTAAGATATTTTAAGTTGTCGATGTTGAATAATTATTAATTACATAAATTATATAAAGTTGTCGCGGTGTGACAAGAGCAGAATTCCAATTCTTTGTTGTCAACAATGTATTATCTAAACCTAAATCCCATTAAAATATTTCAACTTCAAATGTTTCTATTCATCATAAATTTTTTATGTATATACATATGTATGTGTATGTGTGTGTGTGTGTGTATATATATATATATATAATGTTATATATAATACTTTAATTTGGTTGCATAGTGGCTTCATTGTCACTTTCTCTCTCCCCTCCTTCCCACACTTCTTTCCTCCCTATGCACCGTTTCCCTTTGTTTTCTATTCTCTCTAGGGTTTGAATTCTTGTGCTACCACTACCTTGTAAACCATAAAAAAACACCCAGTTTTTTATATCTTTAAAATCATAGTTTATTTTTCTTTGATATCTATTCTCTTTTGTTGTTGTTGTTGTTTATGGCTGGTTTAGACTTAGGCTCAGCTTCTCACTTCCTTCATCACCACCTCCAAAGACCACCAGATTCCCAAGATCTCAATGACAAAATTCAGTATTCCGGCGACAACGGTGAAACCACCCACCAAGGCCTCGGCCTCGACAACTCCGACACCGGTCCAAGCGATGTCATGTCTCGCCGGCCAAGAGGCCGGCCAGCTGGCTCAAAGAACAAGCCCAAACCGCCGGTGATCATAACCCGGGAGAGCCCGAACACGCTCCGGGCTCACATACTGGAGGTTTCCAGTGGGTGCGACGTGTTCGAGTCGGTGGCCAATTTTGCAAGGAAGAGGCAGCAAGGGATATGTGTGTTGACCGGAAGTGGGACAGTGACCAACGTGACTCTCCGGCAGCCGGCGGCGGTTGGCGGAGTGGTGACGCTGCACGGACGGTTCGAGATACTATCGCTGTCGGGATCGTTCCTGCCGCCGCCAGCTCCGCCCGGCGCCACCAGTCTGACTATATATTTGGCGGGTGGACAAGGACAGGTTGTGGGAGGGAATGTTGTGGGTGCTTTGATTGCCTCTGGACCCGTTATTGTCATTTCAGCTTCTTTTAGTAATGTGGCTTACGAAAGATTGCCACTGGATGAAGATGAGCCAACTTCCAGCGGCGGCGGTGGCGGCGTTGGCGTTGGCGGTGGCTCTCATTCGTTTCCGGATCCATTGTCCGGCTCTCCTTTCTTCAATCTGCAGCTGAATATGCCGAGTAGTGGGTTGCCGGCGGACGGGTGGGGAGGGAACTCCGGTGGGCGGCCGCCGTATTAATTTGTAGGTGGAAAAAAAGGTCAGAGAAGTAATTAACAGATTATTATTACTATCTCCCATCTTTGTATAATCAGTTGTTTGTTGTGTTGATTTAACTTAATTATCTATTGATTTGTAAAAACTCTCTTGTTGTTGTTCTTTGTGGAATTCATGATCATGACTTTTTCTTTAGAATGCTTTTAGGTTTTAGCTTTTGAGAGCAACTATTAATAATCATTAATTGCTTTTAAGCACTACAGTATTTTGCATAATGAATTAATGATACAACTTTTATCAAAGGTACAAATTCATTATAGAGTTAAAAAAATGTACAAGAAAACAAGTAGCAAAATTTAAGGATTTAACTCCTTAAATTAAAGATGAATCATGTGCGATCTAGTGTTCTTTTGAATAAAATATAATAGTGAATAAAGATAAATCATGCGCGATCTAGTGTTCTTTTGAATGGAATATGATATTGATATCCATGGTGAATAAATTATGCATAAAGAGCCAATTTCACGTTCTCTCTTTATCTGTAAATGATTCTTTCTTTCGGGGGATCAGTGTTAATTACACCCTAATATGACACTTGTCAACCGATTAGCACTTGAGGGACCAATTTGGCCCTCTTGCCCAAATTAATTTAGCCTTATTGCTATTCATTTGACCAATTTTAATTCAATTTCATGCCAATTGACAAAAATAGAACTTAGATGACTCTATGGTATTAGACTGATTTCGATTTAAATTTGTAAGAGTTGAATGGGATTTAATTACAATCCTAGTCAGGTAATTTGAATTAAAAAAAAAAAACTCCTTGTATTATACAACTTTAATGATGGTGTTTACGTGCATAAAAGTGACCCTTAACATATTAAGGATAGTTCAGATCGAGAAATAGTACTTTTTCATGTCCTTACTTTCAAAAAGATCCACGACTTTGTAAATTAGCCTCTAAAATTCCATGTTTCGTAATTATTCCTTCATTATATTATATAATGTATTTCATAACTTGGAGTCTGAAGGTTACATGTTCAAAATCAGACACTCTCTCAATGTGGAGTTAAGATGATGTACACCCGACTCTTCCCATAACCTTATGCCCAGAGCTAACTTTATAACTTTAAGAAATCATATTTGTATCGTTTATGCATCCTTTTCATTCTTTCTAAATTATGAATTTTTAGCAACAACTTGCATCTAAAATATATGTAAAGTTGGAAGGAATGTTTTACAAGATTCAAATATTAAATATTTCCATAAGCACTCCATATAGCTAATATACATATTCCCCTCAGTAGATCAGCTAACTTTGATAACTTAATTGAGTATGGTACCACCAACAATCCATGAATTCTAAGCTACATCCTTTTTATACACTTCTTGCAAGTGCAAAAATTGGCAAGTATAGCGGAACAAACTTACACTAATTACTCTTGAGAATAGAGAAAAAAAAAAAAAAAAAAAAAAAAATCTTATTATTTCTTAGACTAGGCCCCTTGATCAATGTAAGAATACAAGAAAATCAAGATTGTGTGATTGAATTTAGAATTATCTATGTTGCTTGCGTATCCCGACTATATAAAATGTGTGAGAATAAAGTCAAAATTTAGTTCTCTCAATACAAGAATTGATATATCTGTTCGTATATTTTTACTTTTTTTGTTTGTCTATTTTTTGCTACAACCTTTTACACACTTGTATATCTTATTGTTATCTTTTTCCCCTAAAAAAAATTAGGAAGGATGCTATAAATATGTCCTAGATAGTGCTTAGTTGACCTACCAAAACTTGGAAACCAGTGTTTGGATAAGTCAGGCAACAAATTTATTACTTTAAGGTTGAGTGATGGTTTGACACACACATGCACCAAACCTTGCACTTGTTTGAATTATACATAATCTTCCATGCCAAGTTTGAGCATTATATATATATATATATATATATATTAATACCTACTCTAAATGACTTAGTCCTATACATAACAGAAAAAGTAATGTTTCTTTGATCAACAAGGATGTTAATTAGTGAATAATACACAGTGATTGTTCTTTATTTTCTCTTAATCCGTTTGTTGGTTCATGCTCTTTAAGTCCTTTTCGGATCAAAGAAGTCATAATCCTGGTTTGCTTTTTTCTTTCACATAACTTGGCTTGTTTGTGCATTTTGCGTGCATGTATGTAATGGTTTAATTTTACACCATGGCTCTGCCAACTTCCAGGCTGTTTATTCGTGTAGTATCGAACTGGGAATTGCTTGTTCTTTAAATACTTAATTAGCATGTCAAAAGTACTAATTATGCTTGTTTAATGGCATTTAACTAATTAATCTGGATTCTTAGATCACCGGGTGGAGGTGATTCGATCATGTGGCTCTAGAGAAAGAACATCAAAGTCTGTTATAATCTGCCATAAACCAACCAGTACTGGATTCTAGTTCTATCATGTAGTAGAGTTTATATATATATCTTCAAGACTCATGAGCATTAGTGTTTAATAATTAATTGTCAAGTATAATAGAAAGTAATGCATATGACAAGTACATGAAATTTTAAACATAAACATACATTCTTATTGGAAAATGATAAACACAAAAAGTTTTTTCATGATCTTTATCATAAAAAATGTGGCAGCATATTTCCCTTTTTTTTTCTTTTTTTTTTTTTTTTTTTGGTGTTGAATCATTTTGTTGTCCACTTTTTCTAATCCAATTGAGGATTTCATTTAGAGTAATTCACTCTGTTTTGGACTCTGGGAAAAGATGAAAATTTTATTTGCCAGAAAATAACCTAAAATCACTCATGTTATCACATATATACAATTTGGCCTATGAAAGAGAATCAGGAATCGTTCAAGACCCAAATCACGAAAAAATTTCATGATTTGTATGACTGCTCCAGTGCTTCATTGTTATAATAGAACTTAAACACTATTTAATGTTTTATAAAACTAAAAATTAAGTACGAACCAAAAAATTTTAAGTGATAATTAAAAAATCAATATTTTTTGATATATATCTTTTTAAATTTTTAGCTTTCGCATTCAATAATAAGTGATATCTATGTCACTTAAAATTTTGTCAATTTTTAGTGATATTTAAATTGTGTAATCAAACACATTTAATCAAACCGTTCAAAATTGAATACTAAATTGAATTATCAATCGTTACCTAGTCTAGTACACTTCAATTATTCCGATGCTAATACTTTTGTTCCTCAAACACAAGCCAATTAAATAATTAATAGCACATAACAGAAATATTAATAAGTTCATTCATGTGAACTCACATGACGTCGTCTCAAATTTTCAACCCATATTGGTTAATTTTCATATCAATGATAGTATGGACCTTCTTTAATGGAAGTGATTTTTATTTTTTATTATTTTTTTGGTAAAAAAACTCATTTAAGTATTAACGTTGGGTTGATAACTCACACTGTCACACCCAAAACATGGAGTCTTACTGTCAATAATACTACAGATACACTGATTAAGATGGTAGTTTGTCTTAAAAAGCTTGACCACCATTTGCTTAAGTTTTTTATTTATTTTTTATTAGTTTTATTTATTTATTTTGAAAGGTAAATTTCAAGTAATATATATATATATATATATATATATATATATATATATGAACCAACAAAATACAAGAAAGTAGTTAGCCCATGCTAACCAAAACATTACAAGCTCAAAGATTTGTTTGGCCAGAGGCCCAATCTACAACATGCCCACCCAAGAATCAAAAATAGACCGTTAGAGGCTACAACACTATGCAGTGAAGCTCATGGAGAAGATCTCCTCAATTTCTTCCTCGTCCGGCGGCTTCGCCGGTGGTCTTGTGGTCGGAGATGGGAGCTCCCATCCTTCAGCGATTTTTCTAGCATTCAAGGAGTCCGTGATGGTCGCTGAATGCAACTTCCATCTTACTGGTTCCAAGGATTGATGAAGAACTGAATTCGCATGGAGGTATTTTTTCTTGGAAATTCTCCTGTTGCGTTCATTCCATATGTTGTAAACGAGTGATGCCAATCCCAATTTAGAGACTGCATTGCTATAGAATCCTGAGTTTCTCCTCCAACGATATGATGCCTAAGCAATTAGTTCGACCATGAGGAGGGCAGAATATGGAACCACATCTTAAATGTCCACAAGGGTTTGACAAAGCTGCATTTGAAGAACAGGTGGTTGTGGGATTCCAATTCATTGTTGCAGAGAACACATATTGCAGCGTTGATGTGAGCAGGAGCAGTGCATCTTCGGTTCAAAGTTGGGAGGCAATGTTGTATAGCAACACATAATGTGAATGAATGTTTTGGAATTGATGGTTTAGTCCAAACCAGCTGTACCCATGGAAGGGTGGGTAACGCTGGGAATGTGTTAGTTTTAAAAATTTTTTGGGGGATTTTCATTTACAGATCTTGATCCATCACATAGAGATAAGTTTTATGCAAAAATAAAATATGATGTATCATTCAATTAACAGATTGAATACTTACATCAAAGGTCTGAGTAAACCTTTAAATTTTTCCTCTAAAGTGAATGTTCTCACTTGTTGTAAATCCCTTAGCAAGATGCCTTCTCCTTGGATCTGCATCTTCTTGGTAATTGTTTTGCATTTAGGAATCACTCATAAGCCTCTATGAATGACCTTGGAAAACTAGGCTTGTGGGAGGCTCCATTAGATGAGAACATATATTCTTTTTTCCTTCTTCCAAAAAATCACACCTAAAATATACATAGATCATATATATATATAGGCAACATAAAGATAAAGAAAATGAAATAATAAATCCTTCTCAATCTCTAATTCACATGTCTCAAATCTAATAGGATTCCAATATCAAGTTGGGTTATGAGTGAGAATCCTTTGAGCTTATTATTTTATTGGTTACAATAAATTAATAATTGGCCCGGTCCATGGACCCAATTCAATTAATTCATAAATTAATTTCTACTCCACTAAAAGAAATTAATTGAACTTCAATTAAATAATAAATAGCTTCTAAGTCAATGTTGCACTTTGACCCCTCTATGCATAATTAGTTATCGGATAAATAAAGTCATCAATCCGACTACTTAATTAATATATTTATTTTGGTACC